TGATGGACCGGAGCAATGGGGATAGACCGCCTTGGAAATGGGAACACGGTGTGAAGGGAGGAGATGACCCTGGATCTGGAGAGGGTGGGAGGGGGAAGAAGACAGCTCAGGATTGATGGAGGAGGGTGTGACTGTGGAGAGGAGAGGTGTGGGATTGGATGGGGGGAAATCTGGAAGACAGATGGGGTAGGATGGTGGAGGGGTGGGTCAGTAGGGGCTGGGGGAGAAGAGGATCATGGACCAGATGGAAGCAGCAAGGGCCAGTGGGGGCATGACTGGGGAGGGAATGAGATTCAAGGTGGAGGGGAGGGAGTTAAAGAAACTGCCCTTCTCTCCACCTTTCTGACTGCTTCATCTGCTCAACCAGAAAGATCCCTCCCGCCGCTGACCCCCAGCTCCACACAGCTTCGTCACCTACCATCCCAGGCACCTCTGCTGGTGGCACGGCCCAGACATACAGCTCCTCCCCAGCCTGCAGCCTTCCCCACAGCGCCCCTGGGAGGACGTCTTCATCCTGCACAGCTTCTGCCTCGGTGATGGCTGCTCGGGAGAGCCGCAGCCACCCCAGCCTGAACTACACGGTGGGCTCGCCCCACGCTGCCGCTGCCTGCAGCCAGTCAGACTGCACGGGCGGGAGCCAGTCCATCACGTCTCCACTGCCTGCCAACACCCCCTCTCCCTCCTTCAGCAAGTTGCCTTCCACCAAGGCCAGCAAGTCCTCCAAAGCCAAGGAGCTGGCAGGCAGTGTGGAGCCTGAGGCCTCAGCCCGAAAACGCAAGCAGCCTCTTGGAGCTGCTGCGAGCCCGCCATATAAACGGACCTGCCTCCTGGACTCAAGCAAGGGCAAGGCAGCCGGCTGCCAGGTCTCCCACCCCCCTGCCAAGACTAAACCTTCCCTGGGCTCCTCCTCCACTGCCTCCTTCAATGGAGCCCTATCGCCAGGCTCCAGAGTCAAACGGGCTGGCCACCTGGACTGCAGGGCCACGAGCCACCTGCCAGTCAAAGCCTCCCAGCTGGAAAACCGGGGCTCCCCCCTCAACGGCCCCAAAGCACTTCAGGCCAACTGCATCTCGGACGAGGAGGCCAAGAAGCGTAAGAACACGGCCACTTACTGCAGGCCGATGAAACCCAAGCACTCTGCCTCTTCCTCCTCCTCCTCGTCCTCTTCCTCTGACTCGGGTTGTTCTATCAGGAGGAAGAAGCCAGTTGCCTCCTTGGCCTTTGAGGAGAAGCGGAACGCACTGAAGGTATACAGCTTCCCGCTGATGCCAGGAGCCCCCAAGCCAGGGCTCATCTTCCTTCTCTGCCCCCACAGTGGGTTAAGCTATGGGCTGCCTCCAAACATGTGCCAGGTCCCTACTCCATCCCCACAACAGCCCCCAGGTCATCTTTGCCATCCCCGGATCCTCCTCGCCTGCATCTGGGGGATTTGTAAATGTGCCATCGAGCCAGAAAAGCAGGCAAGGTTCCTTGCAACCAGCTGGAAGGGGGTTTAGGGAGGTATGGAGCTTTCCCAGGAATAAGCTTCCCACGTCCTAGGGCACCAGACCAGATGGGCCCATGTGATAGGGTATGAGTGCCCCTGCCTTATGGAGCCATCAGGTCCTGGCAATCATTGTCCTTTAATTGAGCCCATTAAACTGTCACTTCATTCCTTCAACACCTGAGAATATAGATGTCCAGTATGAGAAAAGTTAATAGGATTTTTTTTCTTTTTAACACTGGAGTATAATCCACAGCAGTAGGGGCCAACATTTTGGCAGGGTTGACAAACTAGTCCCACACCACTCTTGAGTGCCACCCTGATCTCTTTTCCTTGTCCGCTTTGCTTTCTGCTTCTTGCCCCATGCTCCTTGCCTGCTCTGCTTTCTGCTCCCTGCTTGCTTTGCTGCTGTGCTGCCTGGTCCATCCCTGGTCTGCCATATGCCACACAGAGAGGCTGTTTGTGGCATGCAGGTTGGCCACCCCGATCCACTGGCTCCCTGTAGGCTCTGAAGGGGGCACTGATGAGAATTGCATTGGGCCGAGGGTGGCTGGTTGCGGGGGAGCTCCCAGCTTGCTCGGCTCCCAGCAGGATTCCACATGGGGTCTAGGCAAAAGGAGAGCTGACAGGCTGTTCTTTTCTGAGCAGGAGATGCTCTTGGGACTGGAGTGGTGGCATTGTCTTGGGGGAGCTCACAGCCATCTGAGTCTCGGGCACTGGAGGGAATGGCACTGGGAGAATTATAGCTGTTGGGAAGATCACAGTCTCTCCCATCTGGGTGTTTGTATGACAGGACTGACTTCTGGGGCCTGTGCAGCCTTTGCAGTCTCAAAATATGTCCTGTAGCCACCCTGTCTAACCAGAAGATGAGAACAGGGCTGAGCAGCTGTTGAATTTGGCTGGGGGACTTTTCCTAGTCTCAGCTCTGCCTGGCTGGGTGACCTGGGGGGAATCACTTCCTATCTCTGGGCCTCCATTTCTCCATCTCTAAAATTGGAATAATGATCGTGACTTCCCTTCGGGGGGCTGGGAAGCTTGAAGTGCTGCTCTACTGTAAAAAATGGCTATAAAATGTCCCCTCTGTACCTAGGCAGCCCAGTCCTGGCTGAGTCGGTCAAGCCTACTGTCTTGCTGGCACCAGCATCTACTACTTGTGACTCCTGTTAGTAGTGCAGAGAAGGCGCTGAAGTCTGTTCCTTGTGCACTAGCAGAGCTGGTTACCAAGGGGTCACCCAATATAAACCTGGTGGTAGCAGTGCTACGGCACAGGGGCCAACTAATTATGAACCTAGATGAAAGAGCTCGGGTGGACTTTCAGATCCCAGGGCAGTTTGCAGTGTTCGGGATACATGCACGGAAACTGGGCACATTCGATCTGCTGCTGTGAAGAGAGCCAAGGGTATACCAGGCCCTACTGGGTCTCTGGCCCTAAGAGTTCCTCCATCTATTCAGAAGCAAACCTAGCCATGTGCCTTTATTATAAATGGATGCTGATTAGATGCAGCCCCAGGGCTGCACCCCAGTCCTGAGTCCCAGCTCCTGAAAGCAGATTGTGGGCTCGTCACTACCCCCCATTACATCCCTTTTGTTCCCCTGTACTGACTGCCTGTCCTCTTGTCTCCCTTGCAGTCAAAAGCGCATTAACAAGGAAGTGCCTGGGTCGTGCAGAAGGAGCCATCAGCCCCGGGGACCGGGAGCCCCTGGATCAGAGTCAGAGCCCGCTGCTTTTTATAACTTTATATTATTTTTTTTAAAAAAGAAAAAAAAGACTCTATAAAATACCTCAAGACTCTTTTCCTGTTCTGTTGCTGCTAAAAACAAACAAAAAAAACCCAAGGAAAAAATGAGAGACAAACCCAATCCACACCTGGGAGGAGGTTGGAAGCAGATGGACTGGACTGAGGTGGCAGCCGCACGGCCGGGCTGGGATATTTATAAAAATTACTATTGCTGTTTTTGTTTCTTTTTTTAAAAAAGAAAAACCCCGTATCAAAAGGGCGGCTTGGCCTGTGGTTTTGTGAAGGGGGGAGGGAGAAGGGAATTGGCCCCTGGTGGCAGGGCTTTGAACATCCGCTCCTGTCAGCTCTATGTTGGGGTGCCACCATTTGCTGGCAGTGCCCCGAGGTGGGTGTAGCTGAGCGGCTCCCAGCGTCACCAGCTGCTGAAAGCAGAAATTTGTCAGACAGGCTTCAGAAAGTTGCAGACTTCTTGAAGTGATCAAAATGTCACCAGGTAACGTATCGAGTATTGCACCTAGGACATGGAGTAGAGAGGTAGTTAGCCACGTTAGCCTGAAGTCAGGCAGGAGGGCAACAAACACTCAGAAATTGTTAGGTCTGGCGACACGATCTTCTGCAGCACCCTCACACATATAGTAGTCCCTTGTCCCCTGACTCTTTCTTCTGGTCCAAGCACTGGCAGTGACCTGAGGCTGGGCTTGTATGTGGGGCATGTTATAGGGATTGGTCAATGGGGCAGCACTAGGGGCTAGATTATGGAGCTCTGCAAGCTGGATCTGGCCCATAGGTCATAGATTTGATACACCTGCACTGTCTGGACAACTTCATGACAGCTCCATCCCTGAGTCTGCTGTCCATGCTGCTTATCCACCACAGTCTCATCTCAGGCTCAGGAGTTCCTGATCCAATCCCAGGCAGTGACCGGGATGTTAGGAAATGGTTTAGTGGTGCAGAGAAATATTCCTCACCTCCATGGGACAGTTTCACACCGGCAGCCCCAAATCTCTTAGGCATTAAAATCTGCAGAGTAACGGCACCACTACAGCAAAGGTGGGAATAGACGTTGATTCTCTCATCTTCCATTAAACCCAGCTACCTGCCAAGGTAAGTCGATGGGACTGTGAGTTAGGCAGAATACAGCCCACAGTCAAACCTTCCCGTTTGGCTTATGCACCTGGTAGAGCTGCTATCCCTGCTCCCTCCTGCCTCGGCAAGACTTGCCGCCTCAATTTGAACCACACAGACCTCAGGCAACCCACTTAAGGAACCCATTTAGCATCAGATAAGGTACAGCAAGTTATGCATCTAGGTAGTAAGATAGCAGCGAAGGCAGGAAGGTTGACTGGTTCAATCCAGGTTGCAAGGAAGGCATGAAGAGCAGGGCCTGCAAAGTTGGTTATCGTGGTGACACGAACTTCCCAATAAACCCACTGAGCCAGAGAGCAAGGAGGTGGCTAAGGTTATCCAAGATAATGGCCGCACAACCTTTTGCACAAGGTCCATGGCCAGAGCATCTTTCCTTCTCCCTAACAGTTGTAGCACCTGTGCAGAGTACTTTTCGATGCTAATGTTGATCTTGAAATCTCAGACCTTGAGACTTTAGTCTGTGGTCCATGGAGAGAGAGGATCTCGGCTTGAGGCATTTTCTGTATAGCAGGGAAAGCTTCAAGCATCTTTGGCCACATTGTTTTGCAGCATCTGATGAAGCCAGCTTCAGATCATGAAAACTTGTGCTCTATCTCTATTTTGGTAAGTCTATAAGGTGAAGATCTACCCTGCTTTCTACCGAATTTCCCCTCCTGATGCTGTGTGTTGGACTGTGTTTCACCCCAGAGCTGCATGTGTCCTTGTGCTGCATGCACCACTGGTAAGGCACTTGTGGTGAGAGCCACAGACAGATGTAGGATTTTGAAAAGGAGGATGCAGATGGTGTGGTGCATCATCCCATATAACACGGTACCTATTTTTCTCCAGGTAAAAAGAAACTAGAAGCTTTACTAATATGCTAAGGGGCTAGGGCTGCATTATTCAGTTTAACATCAAAGGAGGCCTGATCCACAGTTCAACAGAGTCTTAATTCCAGTGGGCCTGAAATTGCAAGAGGGAATCTTGTCTCTTTTGAAAGACATAACTACTATTTGCAGGGCCAGACCCTAGGTCCATCTGGCCCAGTCTCCTGTGCCATACAGAGGCAGAGAGCAAATACTGAAAGGGAAAGTGAACAGGGTATGGCCAAGGTTTTTCCCCCTGTTCCTCTCTCACTTGCAGCCTCCAGCATTTAATGTCTAGGAAGTCCTGGCTCAGAGGCCATGCCCCTTGCTCTTGCGCTCAAAAGCTACTGATGCCCCTTTCCTCCAAGCATGTGTCCAGTCCCTTTGTGAATCTGGCTAAACTGCCAGTTTCCACCACGTCTGGTGGCCACGAGTTCTGCCCTTTGATGATGCTGGGTGAAAAAGAGCTGCCTTATGTTCATTTTAAATGCACTACCTGCTAGTTTCATGTTGGGACCCCTAGTTCTTGCCTGGTGTGAGAGAGAGAGAGTCAATAATAAATCCCTATTGACTTTCTTTGCCATTTAGTGTTTTGTAAGCCCTTCTGTCCCCCCTCAAGCATCTCCTTTCTAAACAGAACAGGCCTGGCCTCTAGTCTCTCCTCATACTGCTAATGATCCTTGTAGCCCTTCTTGGTCCCTTCCTCTAGTTCTTCTAGCTCCTTTCTGGGGTGCAGGGACCAGAGCTGGGCACCATCTCCAAGGTGCAAACGTGCCATGGATTTACAAAAGAGCATCACAATACTTCCCTTGGAGGCAGAGGACTCTGAGGGCAGACCAGGTGCTCCAAAGCGGGGCCAGCACTGAGGTGGGGAAGGGAAACGCCTTGCCTCCCTCTCCTTCTAGATGCCCGAACTTCTTGGAGGCATTTCAGACCTGGTTCTCTTGAATCAGGGCGCTGGGACTGAGTCCAAGCTGGGGGAGGGGGCAGTGCCCTGTGCTGTGAGCCGAGGATCTGAGGAGCAATGATCTCAGTTGCAGCAAGGGAAATTCAGGTTGGATATTAGGAAAAACTTTCTCATGAGGAGGGCAGTAAAGTACTGGAACAGGCTAGCTGGAGAGGTGGTGGAGGCCCTGTTCATAGAGGCTTTTAAGACCTGGACAGACAAAAAGGCTAAGATGAGATAGTTCAGAGCAGTCTTGCTTGGCTCAGATCAAGCATCTCAGTGGGGGCACCTGAATCCCAAGTCTTAAAAAAAATATATATGTGTATATATAGTTTTATACAGCATCCCAGATAAGCATTGCTACACAAACCTTAAAACATATTTAAAACCCATGCACATGTTACAATGGTCGTCTGCATGCCCCCGCGCTCCCATCCGCAGTCCTTTCCATAACCCAGGCTCTTAGTTTTCACCCTGCTGTTGGGTTTTACACTGTCCGCTTACTCCCTGTCTTGGTTGTTGTCACTGTCACTCTCACTGTTGCTTCTGCTACTGACACTGCTGTTGTCACTGTCGCTGCTTCGGGGTCCGCTTGTGTCGCCGTCGTCTTCATTATCACTGACCACTCCACCTCTCGGAGGGTCTTTGAACAGCCTGCACCAAAAGTCCCTTTGCCAAATGGAGCTGGCCGCTTCTCCTCCATCCTCTTCCCACTGCTTTTCGGTGGTAGGACTGGAGTTCACTCCAGAAACATTTGGATGCCGTCTGTTTCCTCAAGCGCCGTGTGTCCGTACACCCGCAGGTTCCTACATTGCCACAGGGCACTCCTGACGCAGCACACAAACTGGTGGGACCCCCACTCTTTAGTACAGCGCCGCCTGTTTCCTGCCACCTCTTCCAGGAGCCGGCCGACCTTCTCCCTTGGCATAAGGACAGCGCCACAGGAGGTGGTCAATGGTCTCTCCATCGCAGCGGCAGGCAATTATTTTGTGCGGAGGGCCGCTTACTGAGTTTTGGCAAGCCATCGAGGGCCACCTGCCAGGCAGCCACAGGCAGATATATACTAATTTTCTAATTTTTCTAGGGGCCCAGAATGGTCTGGCGGGCCGCGTTTTGCCCACCCCTGCTCCATCATCATCCAAAGCCCAAGCCCTCTGGGCTCTGGCCTGCCTGTAGGATGCCTGCTAACGATTTTGTATCTGAACAGATTTCAGATTTGCGCCGGCGTTGAGCACGAACTAGCCGGTGCCCTGACCGTCAGCGCCGTTTCTTTTCTTGCCGTCCTGCACTCGTGTCCACACCGGTCCGTCGCAATAGGGCGGAAGGGACCTATTCCATCCCCGAGTCCGAGCCCCTGCCCCCGGGGCAGGAAAGTCCCAGGGTGGGTGCTGGGGATGGGGCGTGCTGGCGGTCACCCGTGCTGTTTCAAAGGGTTGAGCGCTGCCTGCGCAACCTGCGGGGATTTTTTGGAGCGATGCTATGATCTGGGACTGACTTGGGACATGAAATGCATCAGTAGGAAGGAAGGCAGGTCCCGGCCAAGCCCCTGTTTGCTCAGTGCTGCCTCTGCAGCACAGCCCGCCCGCCC